AATGATGGGTTTGGTCACTCTTTAAAGGTAGGCGACTTTTCCGACCTTGTTTTCATTCGCCGCGAGGTTGAACTAAACGCTTCATCTTTCATGGATGAGTCTATCCTCGAAGACACGAAGATGGCACTTGGTGCCTGTAGTGTATCTTCGATCCTCAAAGCTTTCGTGGATCTCTTCCATCCTTTGGTCAAGGAATTTCAGGAAGTGGTGTGTCACGACCCACCGTCCTTTTTTTACATCCTGATAGGGGCGTTGGTCATGGAAACGACCTGGTTTTTAAAAACAACTACTGTGTTACACGACAGTGGCCCTTGCCAAAGGAATAGTGTGACGTCATTGGCGATACAATTCGTGCCAAGTACACGGCAGGAATGGTCCGGGAGAGTAAGTCTCCCATTCTACGCCCACATTTTGTGTGAAGAAACTGAATGGTAAGTGGCGCATTATTCATGATTATAATAGGCTAAATGCAGCCACCATACCGGCCTCAACACGTATTCCTCGAAAGGATGTGCTTCAGAAAGCCATGGTTGGATGTACCAGGTTCAGTACACTCGACATAGTCGATGATTATTACCGATTGCTCATGCGATCCATCGATATCCCGCTAAGTGAGTTCAGCACCTCAGATGGTATGCTTTTGTAGTGGCTTGTTATGCCTCAAGGGCTTTTCAATTCCCGGGATACATCGAATCGTTACCTGACGCAATTTTTCATACCTCATCTAGGCTATGCCCCAACCTACTTTAATGACACATTTGTCTATAGTCGTGCAACGAATTGTCGGTCCGATGTGGACAACCATATTGATCAATTACGATCAGTGCTTTAGTCAATGCACACGAATAATCTGTATGTGAACGCATCTAAATGCCTCTTTGGCGCTGAAGAAATCCTATTTCCCCGGATGATTCATCGGTAAGAAAGGTTTGAGAGCGGATCTCGCTAACGTCAAAGCCATAGTTGACTGTCCGGTTCCTGAGAACTAAAGGACTTACGCAAGTGGCTAGGTCTCTCCAACTACTCGCACAAGTGTGGTGTAGGGAAATTCCGAAAGTGGTATTCTCTACTATTGACTTGATTATTGGAGTGGTGAACCCGACGAGATAAGACTCGACGAGTAAAAATCTGACGAGTCAAGACTCGACGAGAGAAGACTCGACGAGGTAAGATCCAAAGAGAGAGCAAGATGATAATTTGTCCATACCACTATGTAGAGGAGCTACACAGCTCCTTAAGTCAGAGAAAGACTTAACGCTCTACGAGCAACTTTGGTTCTACAAATCCGACTCAGAGAGTCAACAAGCTCAGAGAGCTTACGGTCCCTGTTCCAGGGGGACCAAAAGATTCAATATAAATAACAGAACAGTGTGCTCAAGAGCAGCTACCTTTACATGCGTTGCTAGCTCTTCCGATCAAGACGCCTCGTAAGGCACGTGTCTTATGTTGATCAAAATGGGAACTGAATTTTATTTCTTCTTTTAAGCTAAAAAGAACACCTTGGAACAAAGTAATTAACCTACTAACTAATGTCCTAAATAAACCTCTCAAAAGATCTCGTAATCAATGGTTGACAGACATCAGTCTTCAACAATTGATAATGTGTTCTAATATTACTTTATAGGGGATCACATCCCTTGTGTGCACCACACCTACTGTCGGCTACCAGTCGACGTGTAACCTCATTACACACTGGGTATTAGTAAGTGACGACGGGGGGTTAAAGGAGATCCACTTGAGGGTCCTTTTGCAATCATGAAGAGAACAAGAGATAAACAATACAGAGCAGATGGTCCTAAGTCCGAGACACGTGTACACTTTTGAGGTAAGTCCCTGCGTGGGCTGGATTATGCCTGCTGTCGAGCCTCGAGTATCAAAGCTTGTAAAGATCTCAATTAGAGGTGCCAAGAGTTGAAAATGGGCCCGGTGGGCATTACTCGCTTTCAGCGAAAGATAAGTCTCGTCGCACGGCGAGCCGGCGACCCACTAGACGACACCGCTTTAAGTCTCGTCGCACGGCGAGCCGTTGACCCAGTAGACTGCACCGCTTTGAGTCTCGTCTCACAACGACTAATTTATAGACTACGTAGCACTAGTCCTCGGGTAGCAGAGCGCCTACGCGCAGTCTCATGTCTCGAGATGATCAGGTTCCGCGTCGACAGTGCGGGGCCCTGGAATTCGTGTTGTGAAGTGTGAGAGGCCTCCATACATTGGTTAGCATCATTGTTGAGAAAGTCTAGGGCTTCCGTGACAACACCTGGTTCGGAGGACGCGTGCACCTGAATAGAAGCTTCTGTATTCATAGCGATGTTTGCTAGTCGGTCCTCCATTTTGTTGTAAGTGCGGTAATGATGCCCCTAACTGGAGACATCGATAGAACTAGCTAGGGCCATGCTTATCGAAACAAGCGCAGCAAGTGAGGCTTGCGTGGAGGGTGTCGAGTTCGAAGCTGCGAAAGCACAAGCGCACTGCCCTCAATGACATGTAGAAGCGAGTTTCCGCTGTTCTTCGCTTCTCGAAGGCCGTGCACGGGCCCCCAGTATTCAGCTACATTGTTAGTGGTACCGGCAGAACTATAAGCCACGCTCGATACGCACATGACGCAAGCAGCGTGCGTTAAAATGTAGAGTTGGACAACGACGGATCTAGCTCCGCCCGGACCCGGATTCCCTGGGGGACCTCCGTCGAAAAGCAGGAGGTAAAGCACTCAAGGGTTCCGGTCGATAGGCAGCATGTGCAACGCAGGCGAATCATCGGAGCAGAGGAGAGTGTCAGCCAATGCTGACAGTACTTGCGAAAAGAGTTGTCCGTCTCTACCTATGTTAGGCTGGAATGTTGATCCACGAAACGGGCGGGTTTTACTCACACCCACGAAAAATTTAACCCGCACCCATTTACCGCACCCATCGCTCATTTGAGTCTTATCGAGTGAAATTTTCCCCTTTTGGGTTAGATAACGGCGAAGGAGTCCAGACTGAATCTGATATGCGTTTCTCAATGCGTGTGTAGATTTCGCATAGTACTTTTCGCTTTGTATCGCTACCATGGCCTGTGCAAGTGAAGAGTGCTTGAGCTTTAAACGGCCAGATGTGAACAATCAGACGTTGATGGCTCTTACCCTGAGGATAACGGTGCGCCTTCGCAAGTTGAACGCTCTGGCCCAAGCCTCTGTGGAAGCGACGATACCTCCTTACCTGAATTTCCGTCAGATAAGTTTTCTGGAGAAGTCTTTCCCACTTGTGACGATTCCTAATCAAACCAATTTCCAACCGCCCAAGCTCGACGATAAAACCAATGCAGAACAAAGGGAAAAATGCTAAAGCCCGATTGCCCACTGGTGCTGAATTCAATGGCAAGCGGGTAGCGAAGAAGCGCAGACTTAAGATGTGCCTTGGTTGCAGAAAGTATGTCGGATATAATAGTAAACATTGTCCCAAAAAAAACGAAAGAGCTGCTGCAAGAGAAGCTGCGGAGCTTGCACGACGCTCGGTGCTGACGACCCCAAGGGAAGATTCTGAGTTTGTGCCGTCCCAACCAGACTTTTACCAAGAGGTTTCGTCCCAGCAGTTTCAACAGCCGCAGCACTTTGGATCCCCTCAATCTCAGCCGCCGCCATTTTAGCAACTCCGCTATTCGGCGATGCAGCCTCAGCTGCTGTATGAATAGTCGCAACTTTCATTGCAGCAGTACGGCCAGTCGCATGCGTCGCTTCCGCAGTACGATCAGTTCCAGTCATCGGTGCAGCATTATGGTCAGCTGCATCCTTCACTGCTGCTTCCCCGTCCCCATACGCTTTTTCCTGATGGACAGCACGGTCAGCACATCCAGCTTGCGCCGACTTAAGACATGACCTTGTCCTCAATGCATCATCTCAGTGACTTCCCTCTGCATGCCCCTTACCCCTCTTTGAGCCCGGAAATACATGGACAGATGCTCGCGTTGCCCAGGGCTAGAAATTGGGCGCCTGCAGATGATTACAGATACTACAATCGTCGAGGAACCACATTGCACCGACGATCATGCTATCGCAGTATGGAGTAGGAAGATTCATAGAACAGCATATTCGTAGCGCCTTTAAGAGTAGTTCGCTTTGTATAAATCTGGACCATCATATTGAGAATTCTGCAGTTCGTTGCAGATCTACCCACAGCACAATTGCGCAGTTTGTCATCTAATCGAATAAGGGGGAAATTTTACCAATAAGGATCAAATGAGCGATGGGTGCGGCAAATGGGTGCGGGATAAATTTTCCGTAAGTGGGTTAAACTTTCCCCCACGAAACCGCGTAACCGCCCGGCGAAAGAGGGTCCGAGCCCTGGCTGTGTGTACCTCCTGAGTCAAAGACGAATCGTTCCTGCGGCGGAGGCGCTCGACCCAGATGGAATGGAGGGTTGTAGACACGGCAAAACGCCACAGCTTCCGAGATGCTGGGAAGACCGCAGCCTGAGCCTTAGACAAATCCGCGCTCGAATCGAAGGATTGTTTGACAGCACCCCATGCAGACTGCGGGACACCTGGGAGGTCCAAGCCGGATACCCAGACGTTCAGGTCGGCCGCCGGTAGAGCGCCAAGCCACCGCCATCGGTCAAGGAGATAATCCCAGTGGTGACGAGCTCTAGGGCAGGATAGACGGACAGTCTAGAAGCCAGCAACCAGCTCTGCCGTTGCTGTCTCTGTCCTGCAGTAGCTGATGGATCCGAGCACTGCAGCATCTCGATGAGAACCGAATGGTTGGAACGCTTACCATTCAGCTGTTCACAAAGACAAAGTCAGCAATTGTCTTCTCTTGTCTTACATTGTCCGAATGAGCACTAGACACACGCTCTCTCCACAACGAACAAGTCAACAAAAACGGAAGAATTAGCACAGAGAAACGAGGTCTGAAGTTATCGGGCAAGTAGTACTATGTGGTCAAAAATGAAAGCACGATGTGGTCGATCGCCACGAAACTAAAGAGTACACCTGAAGTCCGATCCCAAGAGGTTGACATTGGCTTCAACTTAGCAAAGGTGGCCACCCTCACTTGCGAAATCGCGGCTGATGATCGAATCGATCCACGCGCGGGCTGCCGACACACGAGAGTACACACCATAATAGCCTGCCCTTCCACACGTATCGTTCTTGCTCCAACTCGGCAGCCCAATGAGCACGTCCTCCACCGTGCCATCGATGCCAGGTCTTTCAATCACTAGTGGTCCTCCCGAGTCGCCAAAGCACGCGTCCTGGTTTAACTCGCCGCCGGCGCAAACCATGCTCGCGTCAATAGAGACGTGAGCCGCACATGTTGCATCGCTGACTAGCTGAACGTCCACACGGTGCAACTCGTCCGGGTAAGTTCCATTCACCTCTGCATCCGAGCCCCATCCTATGATCGTCGCCCACGCACCCGACTGAAAGCCCGAGTCGTCCGCCGCAGCCATCTTGACGGGTTGAAACGTGCTTGGTCGCTCTAGCTGGAGAACCATCACGTCGTTGGCATACTTGATCCCTTCCGAGTACTGCGGGTGGCTCATAATGGCCACGACCTTGATCTGCTCGCCGTCGCGAGTGCCATTGCGATAGTGCGAGCCAATTGAGACCCAGCGAACGTCGTAGGTCTGGCAGTGAGACGTCGTGAGCACATGCGTGGGCGAGATGAGGTTACCACCGCAGACGTTTCCGCTATCGGGGCCTGACCGAACACCAGTGACGTACGTTTTCGTACCGCTGGGGACCACTTGGCCACCCAGAATGAGGTGACGTTCAGAGTGCTCGCGCTTGGCAGCTGCTTCGGAAGAGACCACGAGCGCGAGAGCAGATAGAGCCATGGCGGACATACGAAGCATCCTAGCGACACGAAGGGGTATCGCGTATTGCGCAGTCTTCTCGGTAGCTCTTCGAGGACGTACTGCAACTTGACCGTCGACGAGCACGAGAAACAGCTTTTAGCAGAATGGTTTCATGAAACCGGAGCGGCCACAGCCGCTTTCGGTGCTCTTCCCCCGGACATGCAGACAAGACGTGTCTGCACTCGTGCACCTCGTGCCTGAGATTTGAGCAGACTGTAGAAACTCACTGGACGTCGACGGGGTCTATGTCCCGAGGTATGTCGCACGGCCCATCTTCTAGTCCGGACGCATCTGATGGTGTTGACGCTGGACGAATGTTCGCGCGACGCCTTTGACCTCGAGACTGATACGCAACTCGTTTGCGTCATCACGACGGAAGACGAGCGACGCGCAGGTCCAATAGCTTTGCAGGTCGTTGTCAGTTTTCGACCACGTCTGGTCATCGTCTGAAACAGCAGAGACGCAGATGAGCTGTGCTGTACCAAGTCCTGACTTGCGAAAGCTAAGCGTTCTTCAGGAACAGATGCAACGGAAGGCACGACGGTAGATGCAAACCATACGTCGTCGCATACGAGTGATTCCTGGACGTCGTTCTGTCCTTCCTCTCTCTCTCTCTCTCTCTCTCTATCTCTCTCTCTCTCTGTGTCAGTCTTCCTGAACTACGCTCGAAGAGTTGTTCTATCGGGAGGTGTTTGAGGGGTTGGGAAGGCGCATGAGTAGTGTTTTCTTGAAATTGCATTAGTGTAGACGCGAGTCGAGTGGAAAGCCTCTCTGTGCCGCCACCTTCAACATGATACATCAGCCCCATTGACCCCTCGGTCCAGCAACAGGGCAACTAACTCCACACACGCCGATGGTGATGACCCTGCCCGCGAGCTGCACTGACTCGACGAGGGTGGACAGGATGACGCAGTTCATGATGATGCATCAATGGGATGTACATGCACCTACCAGTCTCAAGGTCCCGAGCACGGTCTGGACCTTTGGTCATCTTTGAAGAAGGGCTTGGGACCTCCTCGCTCTTGCATAGTCGAGGTCATGGGTGCCACGATCTCGCGTGGCGACGACACTTGAAGCTGCATGGCCACACTCACAGCGTCAGTGAGAAGCTCCGGTCTGTGTCGGCGGTCTCATTGCCGAATTCACTTCCGCCTTTGCATCTCTCCATTCCCCCACTGATGCGATGAAGGCCTTCCGCTCGACCCTTTTGGCGTACGTCTGCTGTGCTAATTGGACGCTGTTTCCCATCTCTCCAGCGGATGCAATCGACACTGTCGTTCCCATTGAACACCGCGTCCCGGAACCCCATAACCCCGAAACGACTCCCAATGCAATTGCAACGCAACACGCTCAAGACGAACCTCTGGACGCCCACACTGCAAGTGCCAGTGCACCGAGCAGCACCGCAGTCGACACACTGCAGCCCTCTGTTGAAAAAACGATTCGCGTCGTTCCCATCGGGACGAAACCGTACGTCGTTGGGCTTCGCACGACACGGGACGGCAATAGCTGGTGCAGTGCGTCGCTCATCACGCCCACGCACCTCCTCGCGGGCGCGCGCTGTGCCTGGGGCAACCTGCGCTGGGCCGCCATCGGCTCGCACTACCGCAATGGCACGCAAGACGGCGAGCAGATTCGGATCGCAGCGATCCTGAACAATCCCGACGCCTCGGCCTTCACCTTTACCAATGACGTGGCGATCCTCGTGCTCGAGCGACCCAGTGCGTTTCCACCGGTTGCGTTCGCAACGGCGCAGGATCCTGCGGTCTACGACGGCGAATGGCTCGTGAAGATGGGGTGGGACGACACGGGCGGCGAGTTGGACGTCATGACGTACGAGCTGAGGCGGGCGGACGTGCAGGTGATGAGCAACGCCGAGTGCCTGAAGCAAACAAACGTGGACGACTCGATGCTGTGCTCGCGCAGTGCGGCTGGCGAAGCCGCGTGCACAGGTCATTTTGGTGGCCCTGTGGTGCGCGAGGCGCCCAGTGGCGACGTAGTGGTTGCGATTGTGAGCTGGGGTCCCGACTGCACGAAACTCGGCTTCCCCAGTGTCTACCAGCGCGTGTCCAGTTCGCTCGCGTGGATCGAATCGATCGTCGGTCGAAAGTGCACGACACAGCCGTAGATAACGTGTCGGTCTTTGTAGCATTGAGTCAAATGGAGGCCAACGATTGTGTGCTGCAGCCCATTGCTATCAAGCGATGCAGATTCAGGTTCAATTGACAGCGCACGCTCACACGTACAGCGTCAGTTCTATGAGGATGTGCGTTTGTTTACAGCTGCGACACACCTTTGTTCCTGTTTGGTTTCCACTTGCTCCTGACTGTTTCGATCAGCGACTGCACGTCGTCGTCGTCGCAGTACTGCAACACGCGTCTCATTGCACTGACGTTGACGCAACGTACTCGAGTTTGCATTCGAGTGCTGATGTGGACGCGTACGTCAACACATCGAGATGGACAGTAAAAGAGATTGTGACGCTGTGCGCACGGTGTGCTCTCTTTTTGACAGGTTGAGTGAGGCAAACCAGACCTTCGCACATTTGAACGACCCGATGGACAGCACGCCGATGCAATGCGTGACGAGGTCATCTAAAAGTACCTCGTTAATGATGTTGACCGCGACGAGAGGTATGCGCGATAGAGTCGTCCAGAAGACTCGGGTTGCTCATGTTGACGGCGCACTTGAGCTCAACAAACCACAGGTTCAATGCTGTGGTCACATACAGCATGACCAGTGTGCGTAATATGCACTTGCGCAAACCATCTTGAGCGTACGCCTTTGTTCGCTACTGCAATGTCCATCCATTGTATACGCAACTCATAGTCAGGCGTGTGCAATGCATGCTCCAACTACTCATCAAAGTTCCATCAACGATCAGTGGCACATATCTCTTGCTACGCGATTGTCACTTGTGTATCGGTTCGGGTCGGACCATCCATTGCCGTTTCGATCCGGTGCCATGTCGCGATACATTTGATCAACGAAACACATAGTTGCGGCTCGAGTTTTCTTGCTTAGCTTTCAGACTTCATCGCTGGTAAGTGCAAGAACTCGGCGGTTCGTAATCGTTTGCGGGACATGTATGTGTGATGCGCTCGCTGCTGGGAGCGCCATGTGTCCTTGTGTCGCACTTCGGTGGATATGACGTCGCGTGAAGGATCGCAGTTTGTCGCGTCGGCCTCTGCGGATTGTGAAGGGGCAGAACAACGCGACAAGTGGTCTTTTCGACGGTCATGTATGTTGTAGAATGAGCCGAGTAGAAGAAGTCTAGCCAGCGTGCCTCATGCTTCATGCAGCATCACAATGACAGCACACCTATTCGACGTCTTGCTCTGTCTGTAACCGAGACACGCACTGGTCGTGTTACGATGTCGTGTATGTTTGCCATGGAAAGCAGCAGCGTACTGTACGTTCTCGTGCCACAAATCCCTCTTCTACAACGAGAAACATCGAGCACGTCCAACATGGCCAGTTGTGTACGACTTCGTAGCCTGCTATAACTGAGGACGTCACCCGTGTCCAGGCGATGAAGCACGTGACTTGGTGGAAAAAGTCTGCAGACCCAATCGGTACGGCGTCGTCTCACTGCCCCCCCCCTCACTAGACAACGAATGCTAACGAGCTCAATCCAAGGCACCTTCCTGGCCACGACTATCTAGACCCAGAAACCCCGCGCCAAGCAGTACGAGTGACAAGCACTCGACCGCCAACACACAGACAGCACTAGCGGAAATGCTGTCGTTTGCATCGTATATCGCGTTGCAAATCCCCGAAATCAGGTGCAGCTTAGAGGAGAGAGAGAGAGAGCGAGCGAACCATCCGACTCAGAAGTCGGGATTTGTCCACGAGCTCATTTATTCACAGCCCACAAGATACGATCGATATCCGCCGCCTCAGTCGCCACCCCCTCAGTCAGTCTGTCAGTCTGCCATTCCCTCAGTCCGTCAGCGAGTCAACCAGTTCCAGAAACCCCACCGCTGTCTCTCGAATGCCAGCGAACCACAACGTCTAAGTCCCCATCATGACGTCCACGTCCCCCACCGACTATACCCACATGCCCAGTGATCCCCACAACAGCAGTAGCAACAGTAGCAGAACAACAGCAGTAGCAGTAGCAGTGCAAACCACAGTCGCAATAGCACTTTGTTGACCGCTGCAGAGCACCAGCGACCAACAGAGCGTCAGCCGCTTTTAGGGCCGCGCACAGCGGCCGCACTGTCCCCGAGCACCGGTCAGTCGTCTGCGACGCTGTGGCACGGCACGTTCCCTGTCAATGGGACCGCCGAAGACGGACCCCGTCATCGGCGCCAGTGCACCGACACGCTGTTTGTCGGAGCGCTGGCGCTGTACTGGATGGGAATGATCGCTGTTGCAATCACTGCGCTCTCGTACGAGAGCAGCGCTTCGTTCGCCCAGGAGATCGAAAGCGGAGTGGACTTTCAGGGCCGCTCGTGTGGCCCGCATCGGTTCGTGTACTTCCCCGACTTTGAGGCGAATCCCGACTTTGGCGTCTGTGTGACGGTCTGTCCCCGCGCGGCAGGAGACCTCCTGACGGTCGACTTACCGCTACTTGGAGCAAACTCAGCAGGTGGCCGGCAGCCGGAGACACTGCTGCATTCGGTCCACTTTACGTCCTACGCGTCCCATCCACGAGCCTATGTGTGTGCCCCCGCAGGAGGTGAGATTTTGGATACTGAAGCAGTCGAACAGGATGGATTGTCAAGTTGATGGAGCGGTATTGACTCACATACCTCTATGTGTTCTCTCTCTCTGTGTGTGTGTGTTGTGCTGGTGTCTTGTTGTTCCGCAGTGGATCTCCATCAAGTGACGATCTTGCAGTTGCAAGACACTGTTGGTCGCTTTGTGGGAGCTCTTGCAAGTGTAAGTGTCATTGCCGTTGCAGGACTGACTGTTGTGTCGAGCGAAGTTTTTGAGGTGCTGACAGTGTGGGTGCAGTGTTGGCAGGTGCTGATCATTGCGACAGGCATTGCGCTGTCAACAGCGGGGCTGTATCTAGTGATGCTGCGATACTGCGGCTGCATCAGCGTCTTGTTCTCGACCGTAGCGATTGAATCGACGTTGGTCTTCAGCAGCTATCGGCTGCTTCGTGCGGCAGCCGACCCGGTGTTGTACGAGGACGACCCAGTCATGCTGAGCTCTCTCCAGATCAGTTCGGTTGTCATGTGCTGTGCTGCAATTCTCTTTCTACTGTTTGCAATGGTGAATATGCCTCGACTGCTGCTTGCAGGCGCGTTCATCACGCATGCGTCGCGTGCATTGTCCCAGCTCAAGCGCCTCCTTATGCTGCCGTTCATCACGTACGTGCTGTTGTTGCTGCTGTTCGGGTGGGGCATCTTCGTCACAGTCTGCATTTTCGGAGCTGGAGAGACGTCGACGCGCATCGCAACTGTCGCCGCTACCTCTCCAGCCTACATTCGTGTTGCCACCGAGTCGTTTCAAGTGAGCACAAAGCTTCGATGGCTCTTCATCTACCATCTCTGCGGAATGTACTGGTCGGTGAACTTTGTTTTGTCGACGAGCGAGATGATCACTGCCACAGCCATCTCGCTCTGGTACTTTTCACCGGAGAATCGGATCACTGGACGGAAAGACTTCAAGATTGCCGATCCCGTGTCGTACGCAGTGCACACGACTGTCAAGTACCATCTCGGAACGTTGGCCTTGAGCTCGTGTTCGGTCGCGCCTGTAGAGCACATCCGATCGTTTCTCTTGTACCTCGAACACAAGAATGAGTTTGAGGCCAACACTGTCACGAAAGTCATGGCCAGGAGTTGCTGTGTACGTAGCTGCATTTGTGTACAGCAAACGTTCACGCAGCATCGTTGACGATCGACTGACTTATGTTCTACTGTTCTGTGTACCCAGTGCTGCATTTGGTGCTTCAAGTACTGCCTCCGGTATATCTGCAAGGAGGCTGTATACGTCACTGCAATCCAAGGCACTAACTTCCGCACGTCTGGAAAGGTGCGTGCTCTGCTATGAGATTCTGCAGTGCAAACCGATTGGCAGCTCTGATGCCGTTGTCGTCTGTATGTCGTCATTGACCGCAGTTGGCCTGCACGCTGATATCCTCCAACTTGCTCCGGGTTGGAGCGCTTAGTCAGATCGGGTATGCGTCGGTGCTTCTGGGCAAACTGATCGTTTGCACCATTACAAGCCTCATCTCGTGGTTTCTTCTAGACGATGTACGTTGATCGCCCGAATCGAATGAAGCTCTCGATGCCGATGTCTGACGTAACTGTCGTTGCTTTGTTCTCGATGCCACAACCTCAGGCTTCTTCCCCCGTGCTGCCGCTCGTTGTCATTGTCCTTTTCTCCTACGGCGCAGCTCATGCCTTCATGACGGTGCGCTTTTGATCTTGTGCAGATAAAGTCGTATGGAACGAACGTCTGAACGTGAACCATGTGAACAGATCTACGAGACGTCCATCAATATGCTGCTCATGTGCTTCATCCTCGACGAGAACTTGCACGGCGGTCGGAGCAACTCGGTACACGCGCCAGCCCCTTTGATCCAGTCCGTGAACGACCATTTGCGACCAAAGTGGCAGACGGTCATGTAGCACTCGGCCACTCGTTCATCACACAGAGAGAGAGAGAGAGAGAGAGAGAGTGCAGCTACTGCTGCGTCATTCACAAGTATAAAGAGCCAACACGACCCGCCGATCATCGTCTGCGTGGTGTGCACCGCCGTCTGTTTTACCACGCACAAGCTGAAGAGAACTGGATGCTGTTTCGATTGTGATGCACAGATAGTGCAACAAGGGGTACAACACTGAGCCAAGTGGCAGCTGCTCTGGTGTCAGCAAAGTATCCAGTCAGGTGGCCATTGTCTTTATTACGCCAAGAAGCAGCAGCAGTAGCAGTAGCAGTAGCAACAAAACAAGACATTGAGTTCAGACGTCTCAAGTCCAAAGCATAACACTACATCGTAACCCTCGGCCCGTTTTTCGTCGACCGCCTCCTAGAGGTGACCTGATCCATCATTTGGGAAAAGACCGGCCGGCCCCCACCCCCACCCACCCCACCGTCAACAGTCTGATAGTCAGACCAAAAAACGTCGAGTCGTTTGTGTATTTTTCTTCTCGGTACGGTCGTCCACTTTCGTCCACTTACATACACCAAGTCCACGTCCGCTCTCGGGGTGCGGGGGTCTGCGACTGTCCATCCCGCTTGATCCATTCACCAGCTCGAGCGCTCGTTACACACCCACTCGCACACTCATTCGCGAGTCTCCTTGCAACTAACGACCGACCGACCGACCGACCGGCCGAACGAACAACTGCCCGTTGGCACTCTCCAATGGAGCCACTTCTCCCGTCGTCCCCCACGCAGATGCAGCCGAACAAACGCTGTGGTGCACAGCCACTTGCGCTCGTCACGTCCGACTCGACGCGGACGGGCAGTCGAGACCGAAGACCCCACTGCATTGACCCGTTCCACGCGCAACTTATCGCGAACGACAGCCCGACGCGAACCGAGTGCAGTGTCGATGCAGTGTCCGATTTACTACTGCCACAAGTGCCACGTGATGCAAACGGATTGAAGCGGGGGGTACCTGTTTTGCCATGCAACAGCGACAAGTTGACTGGAGGTAATCGTACTACTGCAACAACAACAACAACAACAACTACTGCTACTACTACTGCTACTACTGATGGTACGAGTCGTACGATGACTCCTACTTCGTTATCACTTGTGTCTTCACTAGAGACGGCATTGTCGTCGTCAGTGGAGAACGAATCGATGGACAATGGTATCAATGGCCCAAGTGGTCTAAGCACGTCGCAAAAGTTGCTCGACAAGTGGTTGTTTCGCAGTGGAACGCCAGTGCTGACCGCGTCCGTGACGTCCAAGGAGTCGATGGGAAGCAGTGTCATTGGGGACGACGACGACGAGGCAATGAACGTCGTGGTCATGAACACGAACCTCTTGCCGCCGCCGTTTGCCAACATGTACGCGTGCGAGTCCTGTCGCGAGGACATTGGCTCGCTGTTGTCCCAAGGCCGACATCACTGTCGGAACTGCGGTGGCTCGTTCTGTGCCGACTGTACAACGCAGTCGATCGTCGTGCCCTATCGCGCGTATATTTCACGGGGAGAGCTGCGCGTGTGCGATGGCTGCTACTACCGGATTGAGAATTTTCAGAAACAAGTCCAGAGCACAAGTGTCACGTGGAGTGGCCTCGTGCCACCGCCGAGCGAGCAGATCAAACAGGACTTTGACCTGTCGGAAGACGAGGATCCGGTCGCGATTTTCAACTGTGCGCTGTTCTTGGACACGACGCCGTTCTACGGGCACCTCGTGCTCACGCGCAAGCGCCTGTGCTTTCAGAGCTATGCAGACGGCAAGAAGCGCAAAGTTCCGTACTCTCGCGTGCTGTCGCTGTTGAAGCCGCAGTTTTACTACATTAATGGATTGCAGGTGAAGACAAAGCAGAGAGAGACGTTCTTCTTGGCCGAGTTCAATGGTCTTCGTGACATGTGCTTTCTCCGACTCGACCAGCTCATTCGGGCGTACCAGGAAGCCAGCAAGCTGAAAAACCTACGACCTGGCAACTCATCGAGCCCGAAGGAGCTCCGGAGACAGGCACTCGATCGCCGACGCTCGTACAAATTGATCTCGGAGTACATTACGTCGTCAGGAGGGTGCACTAGCAGTTCGAGCAGCTCGCTCATGTCATCCTCGTCGTTCATATCGACTGTAGGATTCATTGACGTTGACGACGACGAACTGACTGCTGACGCGCCTCTCAGTAGCATTGTCGAGGACTGTGGCCACATTGACGATAGCAAATCGACGGCTAGTGACGAAGAACCATTTGAGCCGTTGCCACCAGATACGCTGCTCGAGAAGATGACGATTTTGCTGGATTGTGAGCTGCGAGCCGATGTGAAGCGAGTCTTTGATCTGTTGTGGAATGATGGTCCTGGCCAGGAATTCTCGCGCGCGATCATGGAGAAGGCACGCGATATCGACATTGAAATCGAGTCGTGGAAGTTGGTTGACAAAAGCGATCCCGTAACTGCTGAAGCAGTTCGAAAGGGCTTTGAGATCTCCAAGGAGAATGACTATACTCTTTACCGCACAGTGCGATCCCAGCATCCGCCGAAGACGTCGTTTCCAGGTCTACCGCCCTACGCCGGGTGCACAAGAACGCAACGATTCCGCCTGGACACCATCTCGAATGACGGAGACAAGTGGGACCGTTTTGTCATCACGGAACTCAACCGCATGAGCAAGATTCCATTCAGCGATTACTTTGAAGTGGAGATGCGCTACGTGTTTTCTCGTGACGGCAACAACTATTGCCACGTCCAAGTAGGTTTAGTCGTCAATTTCCTCAAGGCCACGTGGTTCAAGAGCCAAATCAACTCGTCTACGCGATCAGAGTCGAAAGAAGCGCTCGAGTCATGGGCCAAGCAATCGATTGAATTTCTCGAGGCTCAACGAAACCGCGTCGTGCCGCTCTCTCCAACGATCAAAGCGCTATCTGCTTCGGGCAGCTTCAGCGAGCTTGTGTCGGGGATAGACAGTGCTCATCATCCTGCAGTGAAGTCGAGTGCGCATCTGACGCCCACGAGCACTTGTGCGCCGGCAGCTAGGAGGTCACCATCATCATTGACCACTGCAACAGGTGCTAGTGGCCGTGCTTGGTCGCCGTTGTCGCTCGTACAAGTGTTCCTGCTCGGTTTGCTGGTGTATGGTCTCTCGCTGCTCCGTGGGCATCAGATGCAAATGCAGCGGCTTGTTGACGAGACGACCAAATTGCTTGAGCAGCTTCAGAAGCAGCAGAGTATGATGCAGGCACAAGCACCGGCCATGCAACAGAGTTGCGAAGATTCCCGCTACCATCCGATACAATAGAGAGACTTACTCACGTACATGACTGATACTAATAAACGGTTGTAGTTTGACAACTCGGTGCTCAACATGCGATCGATCAGCTCGTGCCGAAATGGACGGACGACAGCCAATGTCGACAAAGATACACACGTTCCGCTTGTGTGTGTGATACAAACAGCGTCGAAGGTGTAAGCTATTTCGGTAAAGCGTGTGGTATGCAATACCATGTGACAGACGTTTGATCTGCTGAACGGAATCGATTCAGTCGACTGGGATTTCTCTTGTACATACTGTACCAACGACCGATCGAGACAATTTGATGGTCGCTACGATACTTGACTTGACTTGTGCGTGAAACAAGAAGCTGTGGAGGAAAACACTGAATCGAGTGTTGTTTCGTGTGCCTACGTCGCTGTCGAGTTATCAACCACCGATCTGAGGAATGCAATGATGAGCAAGGCAAAGCAAAGAGCGTGAGCTGTGCTACACAATACATCGTATGAATCGATGCAGGGCCTGCCCAGTGCCTTTTATCGTAACGAGCAAAGGAATGTAGATATGCCATTGTTCTTCCTTGCCACGCACCAGACTCGGTTGGTCGATGCAAAGTCTCTCTCGCTCATTGTAGAGCTAAGCTGAAGCTGGCCGTCTATGAAAAACTTACGACATCGCTTTGGCGACTACACAATCCACCAGCGCAACGTTTCGTGTTTGTTCGCGGCTGGACATCCCACAGGTTGCGGAAGAAAAAGCTCGAAGCTGAATATCGCGCACTTGGCACAAAAGTTGTAATGCTCAGGCCTTATTTTCATTGCAGCCTACATGTGTTGCAAGCCCCTCTTTCCTTTGACAGCGAACGAAGACGCGATCTGGCGGTACAAATGCTGTGCGACTGAGCTTTGATCCTGTACGACAACTCGATGTCTTGACGCACCCAACACGAGCGGTCAACAACTGTCGAAACAAATCGATCGAGTTCGGGCAAGCGTCACTCGTCCTGGCGTAAAAAGCGCTTTGTAATAAAACAACAAAACGAAAAAGCGAGAGATCGAGCCTCCCCATCGCTATCCTGTCTCAAGCTGCACTACTCCACCCCCTCCGAGAAAAACACAGGAGAAAGTAGACACTTGTCGCCGGACAGTTCACCAACGTGCAGCTCCGCCACCGAAACCAAAAGCTCCGTCGAGTGCAATGCCATTCACGCAATCCGAACCGACGACCAGAGCTCCTGTTGACCTGCAGGTACCCACCACCCCGTCGTCGAACACGTGCACCAGTGCCCCCTCGTCGTCCGTCTCCGTTCGACACTGTCGTCGCGTCCTCGTGGTCGGTGACGGCAACTTTTCCTACTCGTTGGCGCTTCTAAACCAGTTCCAACAACAACAACAGAGTGACGACCCCAACGAAGTGGTGGACCTCATTGCCACATCCTACGACAGCTTCGACGAGTTGGTGGCCAAATACCCCGAGAGTCGACGCATTTGCGCCCAATTGCGGGCGAGAGGGGCGACCGTCTGGCACCGCGTGGACGCCACGAACCTCCGCGAGTCGCTCGTGGCCGCAGGGGCCACACCACAGCAGCTGCGCTTCCAGTCAGTGATCTTCAACCACCCGCACGTTGGCGAAGAGAACGTGCGACGGCATCAGAGCCTCTTGTCGCACTTTTATGCGTCGGCTTTAGCTGTGCTGGAGCACAAGGAGCAGCAGAGAGAGCTGAAGAAGGAGCTGAAGGAGACGAGGGATGGGATCTTTTTGACTTTGGCAGACGGACAGCCCGAGCGGTGGCAGGCCGTGCACCGGGCGCTGCGGAGCGGACTCGTGTTGTACCGGGAGGTCGCTGATGTCGACCGTGACGAGGTGTTTGGTCTCGTCTACGACCGCAAACGACACCAGAACGGCCGGTCGTTTTATCAGGTGACGCTCTACGGCGAGAAGCGCGCGCAGAAGAGCACACTGTTTATCTTTCGACGACCGGAGAGCGGTGTGACGACAAACGCTGTGGCAGTGAATGCGACGAGCACGAGCACTGCGGAGATTGTGTGTTGTCGCGACGAGAAGACTGCGACGTCTCGAAAGCGGAAGGCCGAGCGCGACCACGGGCTGGAGTTTGCCTGTACGCAGTGCGACCGAAGCTTCAAGTCGACGCAAGGACTGAGAACGCACGTGCACATGGTGCACGAACTCGGAGCCAGTGGTGCAGGGCAAGAGGTTGTGCTTCATTGCAAGTTGTGCAGCCGCACGTTCAAGACAGAGGACGCCAAGCGACAGCACGTGCTCGCGAAACACGGCAAAGATCCGCTGATTCAGCCAGACTGGTTCCAAAAGCAGCAGCAGCAGCACGAAGCTACGAGTGCCGCCAGTGATCCGACGGCACTGTCTCCTTCGAGTACCGACGGACTCACGGGCGTGATCACTGGACCAGCAGCACCACTTGCCAAGGCAAAGACGTGTGCGATATGTGAGCTCTCGTTCGCGACGGTCGAAGACTTTGACGCCCACTGGCAGGAGCTCCGGCCACGATCAGCAGTGAAGCGCAAGTGTACCAACTGCAGTCGCGAATTCCACGAGGAGCGTGCGCTACGTCAACATCAAAACTTCTGTGGCCAGAAAGAGACCGACCGAGTGATCGAAGACACTGACACGTAACTTGCAGAGCTGCGCAAACTGGCAGATGTTTCTGCGCTGAGCTGAGCTATTAGAATCGATGTTGCAACTGTTTTGGCGTTACACGCCGCTGCATTGTTTGTAGGTGTCCATTGTGGAAAACTGCTCTTGATGCATGGGATGAGGAATGGGTTTGAGGTTCGCAAGTGCGTTTATAGCGTACGATGCGTGGCGTATGCACGTTTGGTAAGTCATATAAAACGGATAACAAACAAGTACAAACGCATGCGACGCAGCTCGTAGGAAAAAAGAGAGAGGCTTCTGTCAAGAGAGCTGTTTAGTGGTACTCGTATACGGCCATAAATCGTTTACGCAGCCCTGGATACGAATATGGGTCGTCATATCGCGATATCCTGACTGCAACAGCACATCAGAACATTCATAAAACTCGTCTTGTAACAGACACTATAGCTCACCCTGCCAGCGAGCGATATGCGCTGTCCGTTTCGCCACCTAAATCCGAGCTCTTCACCCCTTTTTAACGAGCCACCGGCCAGCAGCGCTTCCCCGATTATCACAATACACGGACCAATCAAACCACACCAACACGCGCGGCCACTCGCTAGTGTGTTATTTCGTCGCCATCGCCACTCTCGCATGCTGTCGCACGCTGCGACCTCTCTCCGTCCCCGTTGGCTGTCCACGAGCAACGTCGCCCGACTGCGCGGTACCCCACACCTCAAGCGCAAGTTGGGTCAGCACCTGCTCGTGTCCGATGACGTGTTGCATCAAATTGTGGCCGCTACAGGACTTGCAGCAGACACTTCTTCGTCGGACATTGTCCGTGTGCTCGAGATCGGTCCAGGCACGGGCAACTTGACGTCCGCCTTACTGCAAATCAGTCCTCGAGTACACGTCCATGCGGTCGAGTTTGACGATCGTATGGTGGAGCGATTGAAGCGCCGGTTCCCGTCGGAGATCGAGTCCCGCAGTCTCGTGCTCGAGCATTCGGACTTTGAGGACTTTCGCTTCCACGCCGACCTGTCGGAGACGCCGCAGGACGACGCGATCCCGTTTGATGTCTGTGCAGCCAATATCCCGTACCAGCTGTCGTCACTCGTAGTGTCTCGACTGTCGAGCTACATGCACCGGTTCCCCACGAGGTTCAAGTGTGCTGTGCTGATGGTTCAGGAGGAGTTTGCACTGAGGTTGTTGGCGCCGCCAGGGCACAAGAACTACAGTCGCTTGAGCGTCAACACGGCGCTCGTAGCGGACGTCACGTCGGTGGCAAACGTGTCGAGGCGACTCTTTTTGCCGCCGCCAAAAGTGAACTCGCGCGTGATCAAACTCGTGCCACGTGCAGCACTGACGCCTGTGCTTCCTACGACTGACGAGTGGTTCTTTCCAAAGTTTGATGCACTGCTGAGACTTTGTTTCGAGCGCAAGAACAAGACGCTGAGAGCGTTGTTGCTGGCAAAGACTGCAAGATCACACTACGTAGTACAGCACGAGGGAGGGGAAGATGTGCACCAAGTGGTCACGGAGCGTGTCGAGGCCGCTCTGGAGGCCAGTGGACTCACGTCCAACCGAGCAGTAAAAGTGTCAGTAGGTGAGTTCATGAAGCTCCTGCAGGAGCTACGTGAGCGCGGAATCGATCTGCGCCCGAGCACCACACGCCATTTTCGAAATTAGACGTATACTATATTCACAATAAAACACTCTCACTGGTGTTACTACCGCTTCCATCCTTCACTACGAGTTCGTCGTGTCGCGTATCTCCATTCTTCTTCGCTCTCAGTTTCCTAGCTTGTCTACATCGTCGTTGGAAAAGTTGAAATAATTAGGCTCGCCTTCCGCTTGACCGTTGTCACACGAAAAGCGACGCGTGCTCAATGGGGGCTGCCACTCTTCTGGCGCTTGCTATGATGGTGGAGAACGTGGTGTCGATGGTGCGCGTGGGAAGCACGGGGTTCGTCGGCAATGGGAGACTCATCGTTGTCTGCCATACCCGTCGGACTTGCGCGTTGCCGCTTGAGCAAGTTCTTCGAGCTGCGTTCACTTCGTGTCGATCCGCCACCACCCTTCCCTCCTCCAGGCACCGGTCCAGAAGGGCTTTTCACAGCTGAGCCCTTGGGTGAACTTGACAACGTTGGCTTGGCCTTGCGTGTGACAATGTGGAGAAAGCTGTCTCCAACATCGGCGCACAACTTTTGCTTCTTCCTACCCGGAAACATTGGCTTCACATTGCGTTCACTGCTGTTACTACGACTATGAGTAACGGTATCAACTTGCTCGCCAAAAGCTGCGCGACGCTTGCGAGGCTGCGGTGCAAGTTCCACAAAGGTACTGCTCGAGGAGCTTTCCACTCTAGACGGCGATCGAAACCCTGTCTTGTCGCGTGTTCCAGCCACCTCGTTTGCTTCACTGTTCGCATCTCCATTCACGTCCAAACTGTCATCTGATTCCTGTTCCGGCGAGGTCACCGACGAGATCGAGACTTGCCCAATGCGCTGGCACAGCGACAAGGACGTCGTCTCGCTTCCCTCCTTCTCCACCGTCACGCACACTGTGTCTGCAGCCAGTAGCGGTGATCTTACCACGTCTTGACGTCCATCACTGTCTTCTTTCTCGTCTTCAACTGCACCGGTACCACACGACCCGCTCTCCTCTTTCTCCTCCTCTTCCCCGCCTTCTCCCTCCCTCCCTACGTCCCTGTGCTGAGCCGCCCCTCGCCCATCTTCCCCATCCTCCTCCTCGCCCTCCTCCTCTTCGTCCCTCTCTTTCTCGTCCCTCTCTTCTCGCTCCGTCTCGTCTTCCCGGCGCTTCATCTTCCGCGTCAGCTCTTCAATCGCAGCAAACGAGTCCAGTCCCTGTCGCTTGAGCCGCCCGAGCTCCTGCTTCACAATCAGCGCACGCACTGCATCTTCGTAGTTCATCTGGAACTGCCGCATGACGCCGCGCACGGCCGACGCCTCGGGCGGCTCCAAACTGGCCACGATACGCCCGAGCAGCAGCTTCACGGCGTCCTCGCGCGTCGTGCCGCGCGACAGCAGCAGCTGCAGCTCGTGCTTCACCACGTGCTGGAACGTGCGCTGCGCCTCGAGCATGCGCGCGCTGGCAAAGCCCGTGCTGCGGCCCACAGGCGCCGCGCGCCGCGTCGTCGTCGGAGTCGCCATGCGCTTCGGGGCCGAGAAGATAGAAAATGCAGCGCTTGCGGGCGTCAGCGCAGCTCTGATTGGTCAAAACGCTCTTTTCGTACGCCTCGTGCAGCGGACTTGCTTTTCAGCCAATGATATGCGGTGCTGTGATTTCAGCCAATCGAAACGACGATTCACGCACACGCCCGTCGTCACGCAGTCGTCGTCGGACGAAGGAGAGCTGCGATGGCGCGCCGCATGGCACCGGCGCGCGCGGTGCAGACGTACGAGCGACAGGCGCTGCGGGAGGACGAGATGGACGAGCTGCGGGAGGCGTTCCGTCTGTTTGACGCGGACGGCAGCGGAGCGGTCGACCTCGAGGAGCTGCAGACAGTGATGCAGTCGCTCGGGTACGAGACGACGTCCAAGTGCGGTGAAGTGCATCACGAGGGGAAGCGCTGCAGTGACGAGAAGAGAGTCGTCGACATGGAGACGTTTGTGGACATGTTGGGGGCTGCAGAGGAGGAGGTGAGCCGTGCGAAGAGCTCGACGATTTGTCGCAAGGAGCGATGGAATATCGAGTCGGACTGATGGGTGTGTTTCTGTGTTTGTGTGTTTGTTTGTTGCTTCTTCGTCTCCTTTGCGTTCTTCACTGCTGTGCACTGTCGTGTGTAGCGCGACGCGGTCGACGAGCGCGAAGAGATCCAGCGGGTGTTTGGTCTGTTTGATGACGACAAGACGGGCAAGATCTCTTTTCGCAAGTTGAGACGCGTGGTACAAGAGCTGAGCGAGGCCATCACGGACGCCGAGTTGCTGGAAATGATTGAGCGGGCCGACTTGAACCAGGACGGCGAAGTGGATGCGGACGAGTTTTACGCAATGATGACGAAACAGACTTTCACGTAGATCAGCTGCGCTGCGGCAAGAGCACGAACGATTTCCAACCTGCAACAGCACGTCTGACGTGCCCTCGACTTGCTTCGTTTGCAGTGTTAGTCAGCGACCGCGTCGTTGAGTGCGACGCAGATCACGGCCTTGTGATGACCGCTGTACTGGCGGATCGCCTCGCCCTGGCTCAGATCCCAAAGACGAGCGCTCTGGTCCGACGAACATGTCACCAAATATGACGACACGGCCGAGAAAGCGCAGTCCCAAACCCACCGCTGATGGCCTTGCAGCGTATGAATGAGTCCGCTACTGCTCGGTACCGGAGGCGCAGTAGGACCGAGCGTGGAGCTCACGCTCGACGATCTCATTTGTCTCTGAGAGCTGATTGATCCGTTGCCGAGCATCTCCGCTTCTGGGACGTCGCTGACGGCTGAAGCGGCCATGACAGCTGGGAGACTCCACACCTTGGCCGTTTTGTCGGACGAGCACGTCGCTAAGAACTTGCCATTGGAACTGATTCGCGTCTTGAGGATGTAGCTGTTGTGCGCTTGAATAGAGCCATGCAGCTCGTAGTGGCCTTCCGGTTTCAGCTGGTAAAAGAAGCACTTGCCATGATCGTTTGCCGCCACGAACGCACTACCGTCTCGCACAACGTCTACGGAGCGAATGCTGCTCTCTCCTGATTCTCCCGTTGGTGGCTCTAGTTTAGTGACCATGGCATTTGCCGTGAGGTCGTAAACACGCACGAATCCGTTCTGATCGCCAACAAGAAGCTCGGCCTGATTCGGATGCAGCACGACAGAGTTGAGCGGGACCCCCGCGTTGTAGCTGCGCTGGCAGCCAGGAGCCCTCAAGTCCCAGATCTTGACGCTGCCATCGTCCGAGCACGAGTACATCCACTTGCCATTGCGCTGGAAACCCAGCGACGTGACGTTGCCCGCGTGGCCGTCGTAGCTCGTCACGTGGTTCGGGTTGTTGCTATTGATCTCGAACAGGCGAATGTGCGGGTTCCCTGCTGCTGCCATGTACTTCTTGTCCGGCGTAATCTGCAAGCAGTTGACTTGCTACAGAGTTGTATCGAAAAAGACCATAGGAAGAGATGGACACACAGACAGATATTAGTTGCAAGTACGACTACAGAGCGAACACTGTCAAAGAGCTGAGAGATTATCGAACAAGATTACGACACGACGGCCCTACCGAGTCGGGGTACTTGACCGTGCGGTTACACGTGCCGGATGCGGCCTCCCAGAAGCGTATCGTGTGGTCATAGCCTGCCGTTGCCAACACGACGCCCGCCATCTTGCGCGCTCTGCTTTTGTACGCGATACAAAACGCATTCGCACTTTTCGCTTCGCGAGGCGTCAAGTTTCAAGTTTCAACGTAAGGTATGAAAAAGCAATATAACAATATCTTGACAGTGAGATCGATAAATTATGACAGCAAGTACAATCGATCTTGACAGCAAACACAAGTGAATTTGACAGCAAACACAAGTGAATTTGACAGCAGACACAATTGAATTTGACAGCAAATACAAATGAATTTGACAGCAAATACAATCGATCTTGACGGTTAAAATGATTGAGTTAGACCGCAAGGATAATCGATTTTGGCAGCGGTGATGATTGATTTTGACCGCAAGAAGAGCCTCTTTTGACAGCAAGCATAATGTATAGCTTGCCATCGACAATACTGGTCAATTGTCCGACACAGACGAAAATGATCAGGTGCGCGCAATCCTTATTTAAGAGGCGCAAAAAACGTTCTCCATACCTAATTGCGTATTGTATGGTGTCCAGCTGCCGGAATGTACGAGCAGAGCTCAAGCAAAGACAGTGGGTGATCGATTTGATGCGTGAAGATACAAGCAAGCGATACATTGGCAGGTATGTAGGCCATGATGTTGCAGCCACTGAATATCAGAACGTAGGCGCACTTGCGCAGTAGAAGTAGGAAGTAAAAGTAAAATATATTGAGTGTTAAGAACTACATCCTTCAACACTACGATATGCATGACCAGAAACGGAATCTGCAACTTGACCATGTCAAGTCACACATGGTGTCCGTCTCTTTCAGCCCCATGTGACATCCTGTCACATGGCTTCCGTCTCTCACAGTCCCAACTGTCCAGCTATTCCCCTGTCCCACACGTCCCATTTGGTCGATCGTCCCGTCGTGGTCCCACATGTCACGTCGTACGGTAATCAGCCAATCAGGTGACACCGTCCCATGGTTTAGCACTTGAATCTTGAAACCCGTCAAACACGATAGTTTCTAACACTCCTCCTCGGTGTTAGCCTGTGTGGCCTTCAACTTAATCATGGACCTCAACTCCTCCATCCTTGGCGCCGGCAACGACTTCGTCAGTATGTCGGCCAGGATGCCCTCAGACCGCACACATCTTGGCACCACAGTTCCTTTCTGTGCGTGATGGCACATAAACTTGTAGCGTATGTCCACGTGCTTGGCGCTCGAGGTGCTCTTCTCTGACTCGAGTTGCTTGATCGCCGCTTGGTCGTCAATCCACCTCGGCATGGGCTCACGTACGCGTAGCTTCAACTCGCTCAGTAGTTCTTTCGTGCCAAGCAGCTCCCGACCAGCTTGCGACGCTGAGATAAACTCAGCCTCCATCGTGCTCAGCTATACACCCGATTGCTTCTTGCACAGCCACAGAACCACAGCACCATATACAGTTAGCACACACCCTGATATCGACCTACGGTCGACCTTGCTCGCAGCGAAATCGGCGTCGCTCCAGCACTCGACCCGCACATCCTCTGACGTATGTCCATCACCCCCCTGGTGCAGCTTCAAATCCTTGGACATCTTCAGGTATCGCATGATGCGCATCGCGGTCTTACAATCCTTAATGTCGACTTGTGAGTCTGTCTTGTTGCCTTGTGCACTGCAAAACAAATGTCTGGGCGTGTGCATCTTGCAATCCGTAGCAAGCTTCCCACCAGTGACTGAAAGGACTTCACACTCGGATCGCCCTTCGCTCCTCTTGCTGGTGAGTACTCGGCGTCCTCTTCGTCATCCATGTTGCACTCGTCTCCAATAGAGGTGCGAACCCCATTGGATGACTCCATCTCGAAGTCCCTCAACAGCAAGTCGATAGTCGGTTCTTTATCCAGAACATAGCCGTTAGGGTCGTCGAGCTCAATTCGTAGCCCGAGGAACTTGCTTACAATCCCCAAATCCTTGATCGATAGTGAGGTAGTGTCTTTAAAGAAGTCGTGCACAGCGTTCTGTTCGATGCCTGTGGCCAACAGATCGTCCACGTAGACACCGACCACCGTGCATGTATTGCCCTTGTACTTGAAGTATAGGCGCATGTCCGTGGTACATTGCTGATACCCGCTTTGTCGTAGCTTGGAGTCAAGTAATTTTCTCCACAGCTGCCCAGCCTGTTTCAGTCCATATAACGACTTCTTCAACAGCAACGCTAGGTCATTTGGGGTCTTCGCGTTTAGGTCCTTTATCTCTTTCTCCTTCACTGTCGTCCCCTTCGGCACCTTCATGTATATATTCAGGTGCTCCTCCTTTTCAGCCTTGACGTACGCATTGGGTACCTCACCGTGGCGGGCTGGTATCTTCCAGCGTCTTGAAAGCACCAGGATCAGCTTTACCTTCCCCGAGTCCATGACCGCTGCAAACGTGAGGGCATAGTCCACTCCGAACACTTGTTCGTTTCCGCAAACGACCAACCGAGCCTTGTACCGCTCGATGTCCCCGTTCGCGTCGGTCTTTGTCTCGTAGACCCTTTTTTTGTGTAGAACATGTGCATTTCCTGGTGGCACAACGATCTACCAGACGTCATTTGCCTTGAGTGCGTCTATTTCTTCGGTCATGTCCACGTGCCATTGGTTGCGATGCTTACTCTTCATCGCCTCACCGCAGTTTTTCGGATCTTGCTCGATGACTGCATTCACCACGTCGCAATTGTCCGCCGAGGTATCGGCTTCGGCCATTTTTGTTTGACTCAACATTATCGACCTTGTGCCATGGCGCTCTCTGGTCCATATCTGCTTTCGACCTTTTCGAACCTTCTTCCCGCACTTCACACCATCTCGACGATCTCGTGCACCCGCTTGACGATCATGTCCTGGCTCCTCCTGACGTCTTACCGGGTCAGGATAAGTCTTTCTTCCATCTTGGTCATCCTTTGGTGCTTCAACGCTTTGAACGTGTTGGGTCACCACGACCACCTTATCCACTGGAATGTACGCTTTGTATCCCTTCGTTTCGCTCCCTCACCCAATATTGATGCCAGCCTTCCCTCGCTCACCGAGTGATTTGTTCGTCGGGTCTCTGTTCACAGTGCATGTCGACCCAAAAGCCACGATGTCTGTCAGCACGGGAGCTTTGTTCGTCAGAATCTACATGGGTGATGCAACTAGAGGGTTGGACTTGGTCTTGCTTCGGTTCAGTATGTAAGAAGCGTTCTCTGCAGCATCGCCCCAAAACGTGAGCGGCAGTTTTGATGCAAAGATCATGATTCGCACCATGTTCATGATGGTGCGGTGCATCCGTTCAGCCTTGCCGTTTCTTGCTTGGTTTCTAGCCTCACTTACTTGACGCGAGATGCCTTCCAATGAGCAGAAAGTATCAAGTGTCTTATATTCGCCACCTTCATCGGTGCGTAAGACATGAATCCTGCAATTGAACTCGCGCTCGAAGCTTGCCAAGAAGAACTTGAACTTCAACGCGGCTGCATCTTCCGTATTGGCCAAGAAAACTCGACAATAAATTGATCGGTGGTAAATGAAATTGACCATATACCAATTTCCCAAACGATCTCGGGGGGTCATGGGACCCTTGAGATCCGAACAAATGACACCTCGATCACGTTGATTGGTGAATTCATGCCCGTGTCTCTCTTCGACTGAACTCCCTTGGTATGCTTCCCCTTGGCACAGGCCAGAGACTTTTGACGTATCGAATCTGTCAATCGTATACCTGATGTCGGGTCTTTGGCCATCTTGACAATCGTGTCGAAACAAAGATGTCCTAGG